AGACAGACAGACAGACAGACAGACAGACAGACAGACAGACAGACAGACAGACAGATAGATGCACTAATGAACTGACAGACAGAGAGAAGAAGGGAATGGAAGGATTCATACAGAGAGAGAGACAAATACAGGGAGACAGACAAACTTATAGAGATGAGAGACAATAAGAGATAGGGAAAATAGAGTCTGAGAGAGAGAGACAGAGAGAGAGAGACAGAAAGAGAGAGACAGAAAGAGACAGACAGAGAGAGAGAGGGGGGGGAAGAGAGAAAGACATATAGACAGACAGACAGAAAGACAGACAGAAAGACAGACAGAAAGACAAACATACAGACAGAGAAATATGAGGGAAAGAAGAGAGATAAGGATGCAAAGAGTTGGAAAGGCAGAGAGACAGACAGAGAGAGATAAGACAGAGAAAGAGAGAGAATGAGGGACAGACAGAGAGAAGATAGACACAGAGAGAGAGAAAGAGAGAGAAAGAGAGAGAAAAGAGAGAGGGAGTGCAACAGAGAGACAAAGAGAGAAAGAAAGACAGAGACACAAGGGGAGAAGAGAGCGACTCACAGGCTAAGTGCTGTAGTACAGAATGATCCAGATGACCGGAGAGATATGAAGAGACAGAAAGAGAGAGAAGTAGGAGGAGCAGAGAAAAAGACAAAGAAACAAAGAAAGAAAGAAAGAAAGAAAGAAAGAAAGAAAGAAAGAAAGAAAGAAAGAAAGAAAGAAAGAAAGAAAGAAAGAAAGAAAGAAAGAAAGAGAAAGGCACAAGAGGAGTTGAGAGCGACTCACAGGCTCAGTGCTGTAAGGCAGAATGATCCAGATGACTGGACAGATTTAGAGAGAGAGAGAAAGAGAGAGAAGGACGGACAGACAGAGAGACAAAGAAAGAAAGAAAGACAGAGGCATGAAGGGAGAAGAGAGGGACTCACGGGCTCAGTGCTGCAGCACAGAATGATCCAGACAACCAGAGAGACAGAAAAAGAGAGAAGGAGGGACAGACAGAGAGACAAAGAAAGAAAGAAAGAAAGACAGAGGAATGAGGGGAGAAGAGAGCGACTCACAGGCTCAGAGCTGTAGTGCACAATGATCCAGACGACTGGACAGATACACAGAGAGAGAGAGAAAGAGAGAGAAGGACGGACAGACAGAGAGACAAAGAAAGAAAGAAAGAAAGACAGAGGAATTAGAGGAGAAGAGAGTGACTCACAGGCTCAGTGCTGTAGTACAGAATGATCCAGACAACCAGAGAGACAGAAAAAGAGAGAAGGAAGGACAGACAGAGAGACAAATAAATGGGAGAAAAGAGCGACTCACAGGCTCAGTGCTGTAGTGAAGAATGATCCAGATGACTCCAAGCAGGGTGACGAACATGTCCAGTCGGTTCCTCTTGCTAGTCCAGTAGCCCACGGGGGACAGAGCTATCATCTTCATGATCACCTGGGAGACCACAGCATTGCTCTTGTTGATTAACGGTACTTCTAGTAGAACCATTCATTTTTTAAGTTTTATTTATGTTGCGGAGCGCCATGTTGACTAATTTTTGCTGAACCATTTGTGAGGCACCGTGGAGAAATTCAATATCAATTAATTTATTTAAACTGTAAATATTCAGAACATTTGAAACACATATTAAATTAAGTCATTTTTAAAAAAGTACATTATGACATCTGTGACATGTTTAGTTTCGGTAACTGACAGGACAAATGAAGTATTTTCTCTGTCCCGCAAGTTACCATGGAATAGCTCTCTTGTAAGGATGATGCAGAGTTTGCATGAGACTATTGAGTTACACCCACATTTCACAGAAACAGATTTAGTCTGCAGTCACACTGAAGTAGATGTTCATGTTCATACCACTGTCCCCACTGTTTTAAGAAAAAAAAATTCTGAAATTAAGCAAACTGAGCCCAAAAATGTGAAATTAAGCGATTCTGTTAATTTTAACAAAGAATGATACAGGAAAATAATCAGAAATTAAGCCAAAAAAATGATCCAATTTTGCTAAATTATGTGGTGTGCTTAAAACCACGGGGACAGATACCAGGGCACCCACCAACCACCCGCAAAGTGTAAAACCAGAACACCCACCAACCACCCACAACGTGTAAAACCAGAACACCCATCAACCATCCACAACGTTTACCCACCCACAGCACGCAATACTCACCTCCACAAAGAACAGGAGAGTGAACGATGTGGAGAAACCAGCCAGGATGTACATGTGCTTGTCGTCTTTCCACTGAGAAAAAGTACAGGATATATAATGAGTAAAGTAATTACAGCCTTAAAGAGCGTGTTGTTCACTAGTGGTTTAACACATTTAGTACAGTCGGCTACTTTGTTGCCAGGCCACACTATACGCTCATTACCACTGGTGACTTTAGTTGCCATCTTGACCAGGCACACTTAACATAATTAGCTCACTCAGCCCTGAGCCCGAGATAATCGGGTTGAACACTTCTGCGCTGGGCCCTGAACCCTACAGTATCGCGATGGAAATTTCTACTGCTTAATACCGTAAACACACATCAAATAATAATAGACAATACTTTATAAGTGATCCCTAGCCATATCTTTACAAGAAACAGACTATTACAAGGGTAAAGGTTGCTTTCTTGACCAACAATTGAAAAGCAATTTCAAGTCACTCTATATGATAGCTGAATGGCTGGTGAACCTCAGGGATTTTTTAAAGCGTGTTTCTTAGGCTGGGAAGGATTTATTTTTAAATTTTAAAAAATTTCAATATGGCTTCAGTGTTTTTAACTGGTGCAGTACTTCAGGAATTTTCACTATATGAGCCTTCGGTACTGTAAATGTTAAGGGGAGTCACCACATTATGGGTTGCTCGCTTTCAACTGTCCATGTTAGAAAAATTCTCACTCCTTTATTTATTTACCTATACCTTTGAAACTTTGCTTGGCACTTTTGCAGATCAGCGACCTAACCCGTTTTATTTTTTAAAAATCTTGATCCAGTAATAAAATACTAAATAGTTTTTCTATTTGGGCCGTAAATTAGAAAACTGCTCTTTGGGTATATATACAGAATCACTAATAAATGATTTACAGTAACCTGGCAGACAAATTGCTCATTTTAAGACAGTGACACCATCCCGCCACCAGTTAGCTTGTAGATTTCATCCCAAAACTGTCTAGAAGTCTCCACATGAATCTTGAAAATTACTCACCCGGGCTGATGAACCAGGTTTCTTAAGTGTACTTTAAAGTGTGGTGTTGATGAAATTATGTAAACTTTTTAACGTTTTAGGTGTATTTTGTAAATCCCCTTTTATTTTTTAAAATCAACTTTAGGCTAACATCAAACTAAATGTATCAGAACCTTAATTTGCAGTGCACTTTATGAATGGGCTCTTGGATTCTAATAGTCATCCAACTTTTAGACACATATGCAAAAAACTGACAAGATTAATTTAAACAGAGTGATTTTATTTCATCTTGTTTTAACTGCGGTCAGACGAAAATTAACAAGCTATAACAGTCAAATTATTTCACCAGAAATCAATTAAGAACCATGATTACACTATAAAACAAGTGAAGAAGGAGACCATCGACCATCTCCCCCATCTCAGGTCAACTGGATGAAAAAAACAAACCCGAAATATGTAGATTAGCACACACACTGTCCAAAATGCTTATAGAAAATATGAAACTACTGAAGTCTGAAAAGCTGCACTGAGAGAGTGCACTATATTAAAGCCCAGTTCAATAGTTCTTAGAGACCAAATCACAGTGTTAAAATTATCACTGAAAAACATAATGACCCAGGAGTATTCAATGAAAATGTTTGCAAATATTAACAAAGTAAATCAACAAAAGAAACTGCTTTCTTCTATTTCGAAACAAGAGTACTGCCTCATCTTTACAGTAATTTATCATACATAGATCTAATAAGAATATCTGTTCGACTAATATTCCCAAACGTGAAACTCAAGTCTTAACCCTTATAAATTGACCATATGTAACCAATTAACTATTTGAGCAAGGGAGGTAAATTTTCCTCCATGGCTGAGAGCCTAACATTCCCAGTGAATCTATATATTTCACCCGATGCCCACATTACCTCATGATGGGCTCTGGGCTCACCATCTTTTGAGCAGGACAAAAAGTGGGATCCATCAGTAAACAAAAGAACTCTAAGGCATTAGTTACAAACTTTGATACCAGACACTTATAAGACCATATTGTGTTGCATGTGCAAGTGCCGTAAGATTAGAGGTGTTACAAGAGAGTAACAAACAGAAAAATAGAAGGGGGAAAGATAAGGACAACAGATGTTTGATGGGAAAGAAGGAGCAAACCACACCAGAGTGCCCATCAACCACCCACAATTCAACATTTGAGTTGATGGAAATGGGCACGGTAAGAAAAAATTCAAAATTTGAGTTTTAACTCCTTCAACAATAAAAATAAATAGCATTTGTATAGCACAAACCCTGCTCAACAGCAACCTTTACACTATATTAATACCCTAGCAGACCATAGAACACACAGAAACATTCAAGGATTCCCAGGAAACACACAGTACAAACAGCTTATTAACTAATTAAGGACAAAGTGGACACATATGTCCGACAGCAGTGAATAAGGAAGTTATTATGCTTCTTTTAGCATTCTGGAACATCATGTCTCCGAGCGTTTGAATGAACAGAAGGTGCGTCTGCAATGAGTTAAGCACCCAAACACTAACAAACTGATAAGATCTTTCACTAGGTACCCATTCCCACCTAGGTGAAGTGATGAAAATTTGTGTAAAGTGCCTTTCCCAAGGTTACAGCGTTGGGTCTCTGACGGGATTAAAACCCATAACCTTACAGTTGCAAGCCTGAGAGCCTAACCACTAGGCCACAAACACCACAAAACTGAGAAACTGGGGACACTCACGGGGACGGAGAGCATGAGGCAGTTGGCGATGACCAGAGAGACGATGATGCGCTTGAAGATGAGATGTTGAGTCAAGTCATACATCAGAGCCCGGAACGCATTACCTTCTGTTGGCACAAAAAAAGAATATGTGTTTTTAAAAGTACAGACAGAAAATTCAGGTAGCTTTTAAGATGAAGTTGAAATGACAAATCCCTAAACATTCAGTTTTTTTGGGAAAAAAAATATAGAATACTTCTCCATTATACGTATTTTTTATACATAGGCCATCAGATACAGAGGTAGTCCTCCTTTCATTACAGCTTGTATATGCACTTGAAAAACATATATGAATTCACAAGCCTAACAACCATAAACCAGATGTTCACAGGGAAATGCATTCATCTTGCCTATAACATACTGTGCAGTCCATAAAATGTTATAAAGAATTGTCCATTTCTTCTCTCAAAATAGTCGAAACAATATGCAAACCCTAAACATTCAGTTTGCACTGAAATTAAGCCACTCTCTTTTCTTTTTATTTTGGGGGTTTGTTTTTTCCAGTATTGCTTACTTTTCGTTTTTATCATAATATTACTTAAATTGAAAATCTTCTTTCATGATGCTACAGGGTTTTGTTCCTGTCACTACTGGATATACTTCTCATGTGCATGAGAATCTTTTTTACTACTCTGTGCAGGGAATTGAGTCCACAAACCTGGTCTGGGTGGGATGTGCAGTGGTTGGGCCAGCTTGATCCTACCCTTCAAGTCCTGCCATCTTCTCTGGTCTACTGTCAGGAGGGCAGTGCCCTGGATGAGGAAAGAAATGGATGGATGGATGGATTGATAGGTGGGTGGATGGATGTATGGATGGATGAGAGAGAGAGAGAGAGAGAGAGAGAGAGAGAGAGAGAGAGAGAGACAAACACACAAGTAATAAAGTATTGTGGGCAAACATATTTAATTTACAAAATTCTTTGACAGATATACTGCAGCTCTGAGCATAGTTTAATGCACACAAGTCTCTGAGAGAACACAGCCCGCACCTTGGTCAGCATAACCTGTTCATCTGACAGAAAGCCTGTTGGTAGTCAATCTGTCCAACCTCGACCTAATATTCTACACCAACCCAAAAATTTACAGCAAGCTTGCTGTCTTTAGAATGTCAAAGCGTACAATTACCAGTTTCCAAGAAAAATGGTCATATATAAAAGTGCAATTAAAAAGCTGACATACATTGCAAATGGATGCTGAAAAAGATATGGTAATTGTGCAAACAGAATACATCCATACTAGTACGATTATTTGCAACCCTCACCCTCATATATAGAAGAGACAAAAAAATTGAAGAATTATTGAAATATGTCACAAGAGTCCAAAACTTTGATTATTCCTACACAAATTCCATCACAACATCAATAATTTTACTTTTCTGTACAAATTTTTCCCTCACCTTGTTCTCACTGTAGTTGGCAATGACCACGCCCACAAACAATGTCAGGCCAATCATGTAGCCAATGAACACGAAGAAATGAATATAGATTGCCTCCGCCTGTGGGTGGGGTGGGGGGGAGGGGGGGGGGGGGGTAGGTGGAGGAGGTGGGGTGGTATGGGATAAGAACCAAAAATGTAAGATAATGGGGATTTAGCTTCTCGCTACAAAGATCTCTTAATTGTCACCATATAGAACACGATAATATATGCTAAAGTGCAGCTGACAAAGACTACAAATGGAGGGCTATCTTGTACTGACTAGAAATTTTCGAATTGTAATATCCCTCGCAACTGTCATGGCTGTTAAAAAGATATTCCCTTTTCACCCAGAATTATTACACCGTAATTTCCGTAAAATTTCAGTTTTAATTTGTATTAACATCTGTTTTCAGTTTTTCTGAAAGGAATTCATTACTTTCAAAGCGATACCCTTAAACCCCAAATACGGAGTTGGCCCACCTAAGTACAAAGCTCATGATACACAAGTATTGTATGGATAAAATACCAGTTTGAACTCTTTTTAAAGAGGCAGGACCTCTGACTTAACTTCCATTTTCCAATAGGGTCAAGTCCACAAGGTGAAGAGTCACAAAGACTCCCAAAACAAACCGAGTTCAAAAAAACTTTATCTCAACTTCAAACTTTTATTCACAAGCATTGACAATTTAAAAAATGGATTAATAGCAACAACATAAATTGTTTAAACCCTTTAAATGTATTCAAAATGAAAATGGGTGAATTCTGTGGGCTTTATCAGTGGAAAGCTGGTGGGAAAGTGGAGTTAGGAACAATATCATTAAGTGACATCAGGCTACAAAGCTTTTTCCCTTCAATTTCATCATTTTTTACTGAAACTCTAAAACATATAACTGAGAGAACTTTATGTTAAACATAGCACATAGCTCTAGGTATGCATATCATACTTTCACTCATGAATATTGCATTTCAACCTTATGGACTCATAATTACTGGAGTAAATGATTACTCTACAATACATCGGTGAACCTACAACAAAAAACACTTCATATTATGCACTGCACATAGCTCTGGCGATATACGTGTCACGACGTAGTGGAATCAGGCGCTCGTCAATTTTTGAGCACATGGGGTTATTGGTATCATCTTAAAGCCTGTTAATTCGCCTTCCTTTTGGTGAAAAAAATATCCATCTATGTTAAATTTAAGTCAAAATTTCTGCCATTGGAGGAGATCAGGGTCGCCTGGTTTCAGAGGTAAAATTATAAAGAAAACGACCGCCAAATTTTAGTAACTTCCATAGCCTAGGAGTCATTGGAAACTGTAAATTTACATTGTTTGCTCCTTTAATCAATGTTTTTTCAGTAAAATCAACTTAAAAATGTGTTTTTGAATGGACATAAAAGGTGATGAGCCAAAAAAAGAAAATTAGAAATGATATGTCCATCAGCAAAAAATGCAGATTTCTTTGATTTCATTATCTTGACGAGCGCCTGATTACACTAAGCTGCCTCACATATATACTATACTTTGCATTGATGAACATTTCACTTCAATCTCATGGACACATGGAGTAAATTATCCCTCTACAATATACCGGTGAACACACACATTAAGTGGACAACTCTACTCACAGCTCCCACTCTCGCTATGATCACATCTCTGACCTCCAGCCATCCCTCCAGAGACAAGACTTCAAACAAAGCCAGCATAGCATTGCCGATGTTATCAAAGTTGAAATTTCGAGGATTCGTCCTGAAATAATTGCAAAGTTTGGTTCATTCAAATTAAACAAAGATTCAGTTACAAACCCTTGAACCTTAAGGCCATTAAACAAAACCAAGGCTTATTATATCGTAAGCAGACAAAACACCAGTTTTCATTTTGGAGTCAAATTTTTTTAATATGCTAAATCGAAAGCTAGCAACTGTGAAGGATAGACGGTCATTACACGTCAACCTTTAAGTCAGAGATGGCACCTCAGCCAAGTATTCCAAGTAATAATAATAATAGTAATAATACCACTGATAATTCAAATCCTACCATGCTCGAGGCACCCACATCCCTGGATGGTCTCCTGTGCTTTCAATTTTCATTTTGGTCACTTGAACTTTGGCAAAATAGATGCCTGTGCAGTTCTCCTGTAAAAATATAAAAATAAAGAAAGATCAAGTACATTTTTTCTTCAGAAATGAAACGAACATTTCATACAAACTGGAACTCAGCAATATTGCCTGGGTGAAACTTTGTGGCATATTTATCACAAAATAATTAGTCTTTTGCTCTTCATCTACACAAACCACTACAACCCAGACCATGTACAGGAAAAAGAACAAAGTTGCTTGAGTTTGAACAATAGAATTCCCCTTCGTGTCTTTGTTCGATTAACTGCAACATTTGGAAAACCTCAGATAAGGTTATTGTTTTGGCAAGAGTTTTACGGCGGTCGCAACTGCATAAGGTCACATGAACGCGATATTGGAAGATTATGGAATGATGGTAACATAATTCTCACCTTGATCATGATCTCGGGGTCATTGCAGCGTGCCAGCTTCCCTCCCAGCAGGTGCACCCCACAGATGGCAAACACAAACATGAGAACAATCAACAGAATGGAGACCTCAGGAAAGAAAAGAGATAATAAAATATTAAACTTATATATGGTACCTATGTCTGAATAATATGGGTTTTGGTGCTCCCACTATTTGAAAACAAATAAAAGCCCATCTTTCTAATTCGTAATAAATTTTAGCACAAAAATAAAATGATATGACTGATATGAAGACTTTCCTAATCCACATATACTCTACACCTAATCCATAGGTATGATTTTTCAAATCATATGACTTGAGATAACAAAGAAATCTATTACAGCCATTAATTACTCTTTGTAGTCCTTTGGGTCATACTGTTAACAACTGCAGAGTTTTTTTCTACATTAAGCAATTCATTTATAATTACTAAAGGGTACAGATTGGTTAAACTATTAAAGTGAATAAAGTATAATTAATTAATAATTATAATTATTTAGGAGCAAAACATCTATTATAAGGAGCAAAACATCTATTACAAGGAGCAGCACACTGTGATCTTTGGAAGCAAACTGGTTAAAAAATAAAAAAAAACATTTAAGAGAAATAGGCTAACTTAAAGTTCTTTTTGAGAAAAATGTCAAAAGAGGTAATTTTGAGTCCGCTAGGTTAAAGTTCAAGATTATCTCACATCAGCTATTATTGGCTCCAGTATTTAGACAGAATCTTTCATACTATATTAAACAATTTGTAAACTCTGATCATAGGTTTGATTTTATAACGAAAAGTCCAGTCAGGAGGACAAACGCTCCTTCTCTCAACACTTATATGTGTTACGATGTGGTGGAATCCGACGCTTATCAATTTTAGGGCACATGGGGTTATTATTTGCCTTCTTTTTTGGTGAAAAGAATATTCATTTAAGTGAATAGAAGTCGAGATATTGCAGTTGAAGGAGGTCAGGGTTGCCTGGTTTCAGGGATAAAATTATCGAGAAAATAGCCGCCAAAGTTTGGTAACTTCCATAGCCTGAGAGTCCTTGGAAACTGAAAATTTACATTTTTTGTGACTTTCAACAATGTGTTTCAGTTAATTCCACAGAGAAATGTGTTTTTAATTGGGCATAAAAGGTGTTGAGCCAAAAAAAAGAAAAATTCAAAAAGATATGCCAATTGGCCTTTAAAATGCTGCTGTCGTTTATTTCACTATTTTGACGAGCGCCTGATTTCACTATTTTGACGAGCGCCTGATTTCACCCGGATGCCTCACATATATAAACTCAACAACCCCCCAAAGACTGACCAGGCCAATTTCTTTGAAGCCCTGCACAAGTTCATACACCACTCGTCTCATGTGAGGGACCAGGCTGTAGATTCGCAAGGGACGCAAGCAGCGCAGGATCATCAGGATCTGCTCTCGGGAGTGAGGCTGCACTTGGCGTGGCATCCACAGCATAAAAACCACGCTCACCTGTTAGATAGAAGTCAGCCAGATGAAAGGTTACAAACCATCTGCCAGCAAACATTATTTCTCGTTATGAATACATGTCGGCCTACAAGGTCAAGGGGGGGGGTAAAGATAATTAATTCATCTAGATTTACACGAATTGATAGAACATCTGCCATTTTGGTTTTGTTAAACAAATAGTTCTGGCATGATTGATGAAAAAAAATATATAAGATAAAACAAGACACATGCACATCTGTCAACAATGTTAAGACAGATAGAATCTTTTTACATGAGACTAACTTCTTGACTCAAATTCTTGTCATACCCCTAAATTTCCTCAACCATCACGAAGTTCATATTATTTCTTAAACCTGCTCTACATGTAAGTGCATCGTCTCCATTTCAGGAATTCCTGGCTATTTAAAATTCATCAGTTTTCAGAGCTTATGCAAGAAAATGTCACGACAAATGACAGAACAGTTGTTTCTCTCTACTACGCCATAGCCAAAAAGATTTTTTGCTTTACAATTTTTTAAAAATTCATCTTAAAAGGACAATAATGACAGCAGGCATAAAATATATCATCACTCTGATTGTTTAACTGATTAAGTGCATCACAATCTCATTTCCAATTTGCCAACTGAGATGCATATTTTGAGATATTTAAAAAATGTCCTTGTGGAGGGGTCTAATTGGTTTTAACACTTCAGTCATAAACATCCATGCTAAGAAAAGAAACGTTGTGAAGACAGTAGTAGTCACCCCAAAAGTGATCTATCAACCCAAACAAAGGCTTCAATAATGTTCCCACAAGTTGAAAATAAATTTGCAAGGAAATTTTTAGGGAACAAAATTAAATGAAACAACATTGATGGGCCACTCTGCAAGTATTACTTAGCCAAGAATTTCATGTTCAGCAGCAACAAAGAAAAGGTCCAGGAGAGACAGACACAAGTGACACAACCTCGGACTTACCCCGTAAATAAAAAGATCCAGGACACCACTGAAGTCATTGACCACAGCTTTAGGAGTAAACAGCAAACCGTTTGAGGTGACCTTCAGCCCCATCTCAATGCTCATGCAAACGACAAAGGCATACTCTGCAATCTGAAACAATTTGTCAAAATATCTCCATGAGTTTAACAGCGCTATGCTCAGTGTAGATGAGGCTTGTACAGTGTCTCCTGCACAGCCACAGAAACGTCCCCACAGGAACAATAATAAAGTATTATCATCATTTTTTTTGTTCATTCTTCTCTTGTCTTGTCTTGTCCCATCTTGTCTCATCTTATCTTTACATCCGCAGTTTCAGCATCATTCTGCATACCAGTTATCTTTTTACCACTGAGCACTGTACTTTGGGAACTCGATTCACACACACACCAATGATTCTACTCTCGCTAAAGGAATGTCTGGCTATAGAGATCATAGAAATAGTTAATATCACCACCAGAACAAGGCAAGCCTTGATGTTTTGGTAATCTTTGATGATATCTTAAGTGGGGACCAATAAACTTTACCCTATAGACGTCATATAGTAACACTGAATATTGAAAGTCATTACTGATAATGAGGGAGATAAATATACTCTGTGCTTGAATCGATTTTAAAAGCATTTTTGTTTGTGTGGAACCAGCTTATTTTGTCACCATTGTGTAATTTCTTATTCTCTTCGACACTACAACATAAAAATAATATTTTATTAAAAGAAGAGCACAATCTTAATCCTACTTTTACATAAAGGCTACAAGGTGTATTGTGTAATCTACATTCATGTCACCATGTGATGGAATCAGGTGCTCGTCAATTATCGGGCATATGGAGTTAATACTATCATCTTAAAGCTTGTTCATTTGCCTTGCATTCGATTTTTTTTAAAATCCATCTATTTTGAATAGAAGTCGAGGTATTTGTGATTGAAGGAGGTGGGGTCATCTGGTTTCAGAAGTAAAATTAGCGAGAACATGGCAGCCAAAGTTTGGTGACTTCCATAGCTCAAAATTCCTTGGAAAAGGCAAATTTACATTTCCTGTGCCTTTAATCAACGTTTTTCCATAAAATCAACTCATAAATGTGTTATTGAATAGACATACAAGGTGTTGAGCTAAAAAAACCCAGAAATACAACAAAAACATCTGCCAAACTAGCTGTAAAATGCAGATTTCTTCAATTTCATTTATTTGACGAGCGCCTGAATTAACCACCATGCGTCACATTTATTCTCTTTCCCACTGACCTGCAACACCCGATTCTCCATGATCCTGTTGGTCGGAGTCTCAGCCATCATGGAGATACAGGAGAGGATGGTGACGATGATCATGACCCAGTCCAGGTACGTTACCAGACCAAGGAGTTTGCTGCGTCGTGGGATCATGAGAGGCAGAGAAAACAGACAGCAGTTTGTTGTATTAGTGGTTTGTTTGATATGTTCAAGGGAGGCACATCTACGTAGTAAGGTTTTACGTTACAATGTGACAGTCATTTAGAGCTGGGGGAAAGCAAGACAGGCAAACAGACAGACAGAAGGACCTCCCAATGACACCCTCTCATCACCTGCTAGCACAAAAGTGGAGATAAAACACTTACTAAAGTTGTGTCATCTTGTATCAGTTCACCAAAATGAGAATAATACACTGATCAAACGCTATGTTAGGTGTTTTTTTCTATAATGAAAGAGAAACCTATACAAAAAATATTACTTGAGTGGTATCCTGGGGAATCAGGGAAAAGACTGATTTTTTAAAACACAGCTACCTGCAAAAAATATCTTTTAAAGTTAACTTCTCATTTTAAAAAAGCAAAATCAATTTTTAGTAACTTATCATTCAAAATGTAAAAAGCCTTCTACAAAGAAACTTCTAAATGTGTTAACATAGAAAATGCTCTACCCTTCCCCTCGTAATGCAATGATTTGCAAAACACTCACCCATCCATCTATCCATTTTCTGGGAACAGCAGACAAAATTGAAACTATCTTGTAAAGAGTATTACAAGTTGTTGCAAAGAAAACAAAATGGATACAGAAAAGGGAAAGGGAAAAGAAAGTGGCTAGGATAGCTATTGTAAGTGAGTATTATTTTTCTGTGCTGGAATGATCTTGGAGCTTGAAAACCCCTTTCCTTCTTTTTGTCGTTCATGGGTTTGGTATTTTTGAAAACCCACAAAAAAAACAACTATAAGGTATATGGAAAATTAACTGACCCATCCAATCTGCTAAAACAAATGGTTTAAAAATCCCCTTATCTCAAAGTGAATTTTTACAGTGTTACATTTGACTAATGCCCTCCACTGGACACCCGAAGGACGTCGTAAAAGGGGCAGACCCAAAGTGACCTGGAGACGCACAGTAGAGTCTGAAATGAAGTCCTGGAATCATTCGCGGGGAACACTGACCAAGATGGCCCAAAACAGACAGATCTGGAGATCCTTTGTTGCTGCCCTAAACGCCAGATGGCATAATGGGTAGTAAGTAAGTAATGTGTGACTAAGAGGCTGGCATAGGGTAAGTGTTTATTTTCACAAATGAAGGATCAGCAAAGCCTGTCCTATCTCATTTTAATAGATACCCTTTTGCATAGCACAAATTCCAGCTCAACAACAAGATCTAATGTGCTTTAGAAGCTACATTATTACCCCAGCAGACCTGATAGCATTCTAGAAACAGCCTGGGAAGTCTACGGTGCCATTTTAAAAGCACTAAAACAATAACATACTGACAAGATCTTTCGCTGTCTATGGCCAGGTATATATTCCCACCTGGGTGGAGTGAGGAAAATTTGTGTTTAAAGTCCCTTTCCCAAGGACACAACATCAGGCCTGAGGCTCGAACCCCGAACCCGCAACCTCATAATTACTACTCTGGTAGCCTAACATCTAGACCATATTATCAATCACTAGTAACTCACTGAAACTGCTTGTATTTCGATTTGATCTTCTTGCCAGTTTCCGGATCTTGAGAGACGTAGTTGTACTTGGCGTTCACCACCAACTCGCAGATCTTGCGCAGCTTTGTCTCTCGGCCCACCAGGAAGAGCGGCGTGTCGAAGTACGGATGGTTCTCTCGCAACTCTACTTCCTGTTGGTTTCTGAAAGGAAATTTATACGGGAGGGGCATTGTTTGTGAGTTCTGTTTTATGGTGGATGGGGTGGACACGCTGTCTCACAAATGAGCAATAAAAATAATAATAATAATAATAACAATA